GTAGATAACACTCTACATTCTGTACATTCAACATTCATTACATTCTGTAGATAATTTCTTGTTAATTACATTGCTGCAGTCCTGTAATTGCTGTGTCGAGAATTCCAACTAACTTGTCAATCAAAATTTTTTCATTTTCAGTGACCTCTTTGTCATCTGTCACTTTTTTCTCTATCTGGAATGGTATTTTCTGGATCTAGGACTATACTACAGATTTTGCCGTACATTAACTGATTGATGATTGGAGCAGTGTCATCGCAATGAAAAACTTCTGTTATATCGTGTTCATTTGTTACCGCTTCTCTACATTTCTTTACGAAATCCACTAATTGGAAAATTTCACCTTATGTTTGTGATATTCAAAAACCTTTGCATTCGCAGCTATCATATTCATCATCCTCACCATGAAATATGGTAGCTGGCCATAAATTATGTCAAGCATTTTTAAAGTATTTGGAGGCACATCTTCCCATGATCTTGCAATCCTCCATAAAGCAGATTTTATGTTAAAATATTTCAAAAATTCTTGAATAGTCTTGCCATGATTCAAGAAATTTAACATGGCTTTTAAAAATTCTACTTTATATTTGCATTTCAGTGCATGCACTATTCCGATATCCATAGGCTGAATGATGAATGTACAATTTGGAGGACCGAATAATACAGATACATGATCTCTCATTAAAACTTTAGGTGAAGTATGCTGTATAGTTGCCTACAATCAGGACAATTTTTATGTTATCAGGTAAACCAACTGAATTCTGCCGAGCCTCGAGTATGAAATGATTTTTAAACCAATCCTTCATTAACACTTGGGCTGTTTTATTTACACAATATATATTGGGGAAAATGTTTACTCCTTTAAATGTACGAGGTCATGTATTATTTTCATAAAGTTTACACTTTATGCAACATTTGCTAATTTATACTAAATTATTGTTTCTTCAATAACGAGGTATTCGTTAGTGCCAAAGTGAAATTAAAAATCGGGACTGTCCACGGGGAAGAAAATCAAATGCATATGCGTAAAGTATACAAAAAAAAAAAAAAAAAAAAAAAAAAAAAAAAAGAGTTTGGGGGTTTTGAAGCCTGAATTTTAGATCATTCCGGATATTGGATGTCCAGATATCAAACTTTGTAATATATATAAAAAGTTAATAAAATCCTTGTGTTTCAGCAGAAATAAAATTCATTATGTTGATTTCTGTTCTGAAATTTGTTTCTTATCTAAGAACATAGACTGCAACTACTATGGATTCTCTGTAATTTCTGTGTAAATAACCAAACCACAAATTTTATTGAAAGTGGGACAAAGTAAATGGTACGCAAAATGGAAGCTTGCTTATCTAATGGTTAGTGAAATACTCATTACATCATATATCACATGTTAAGATGATGATCTTGCTGGTTTTGAAGAGTAGCCAATCATAGGTCTGTGAATTTGAATCCTTTTTCTTTCCAGTCGACCTCTTTACACTGGAAGGCTCGTTTATTGTGCAGGTCCTATTCGATTACGTCATATTAAGAAAGCATAGCTTGTGCTGCTTTTGAGTCATAGTTAAAGTAGGAAAGCCTCAAAATAAGAGGCTAAAATATTGAGCTAGATATTTAAAGACTCATATTCTACAGAATTTACATGCATTAAAGTATCTAAAGTTTATGCAAATGATGCTTTTGCAGAAAGATTTTTCAGTTGCACACAATTTAAAATGTGAATGCATTTTCTCAAAGGCATAGAAAAATCAGTGCTGTAAAATCAAAAGAAATACCGAATTTCTTGATGGAAAAATACAATGAAATGGTAAGTAAAAGCTAAGTGATATTTAATTCAGTTTTTAACTGAAATGCAACCTTCTGATTTCAGTTTCAGACCATTCAGAAAAGCTTTTTTAAGTGCGATATTGATTCTGCCATAGCGACGAAAAAAACTCATTCAAACGCAACATGTGAAATAATTTTTTCTGTTATGTAAAATAAGAAAGAAAGAAAATGGGACAGAATTTCGACCAAACTCTAAACCCATTCTTATTGAAAAGGTAAACATTGAAAGGTAAACAAATGAAGGATTGTGTTACAGAAAAAGATTATCTGATTCAGAATTTAAGCTTGCTAACTTAAGCTACTTATAAATCTTTGCATTCGTAACTTTTAAATGAATTATAAGTATTTTTGTTGATAATTATATGTACATATCTTGTCTGTCAATTTTTTAAAAATTTCCCTGTAAAAATCAGACTTTAAAAATCTGATAGATTTATGGATGGATTTAAATTACGGTTTATGGATTCTAATTTCCTGTATGATTATTTGTGATTTAACCCTTTCAGTCCTAATGGGCACATACATCCCAGAGATTAGTTTTTATGGCTTTATTGGGTAAATAAAACCCGCTTTTATTTTATTTTATTTATTTATTTTTTTTTTTAATTTTTTTTTTTTATTTTTTTTTTTTACATTGCAGTGTTTTTAAGAAATTAGGGAACAAATATATGACTAAAGAAACCTGGCAACACTTTTATATTGCAAATGGTGCACTTTAAGTTTTTGGGCACGCCAATTACTTAAATTTCGATTTGTCTATATTTTTTAACTTTAAAATGCAGTTATATCTAAGGCATGCTTAGTATGAAATAGTTCTTATTGTTCTTATAAAGTAGTAATTTAACTCTTTTCATGTCAGATTTAAGAAATTTTTAATAAATTCTTTTTGTGGGATGTATTGTCCCAATTGTATTGAACAGTGGCTTAGTATGTCCCATCAGTAATCAAATTACTACATGCTGATATATTATGTTTATGAAACATATATGAAAATTTTTGTTGTATATGAACTGGTGCATGTGGCAGAGTTTACGTTTTGTAATTTTCACATTATATATTACCACAAATTTTAGTTTTGTTTTCCGAGAAAAGGTAATAGCCTAGATGATTGGGACAAATAGTCCCAGTTGACAATATTATTGGGACATATTGTCCCAGGAGATCTCCAGGAAATGGGAAAAGTTAAAAACTCTAAACTCATATTACGCTTTTAGTATGTCAACATTAAATTAAACTACTTTTCATATTTAAATTTTAATCATGCAAAAGTTGGATCGAAACTGTTAAATATTGCCATAAATGATATATTAGTAGTCATAGTGATATTTCTGGATGAATGATGTAACAGCGTGGACAATCACGGCAAAGCTGGGATTTAGCTATGATACTGTGCAGCATATCATTTCTAATGTGTTACAATATTCCAATGTGTGTGCCTGCTAGGTACCATCTATGTTATCAATGGAGCAGAAAGCCCCATGAATGATGTGCAGTCTCACAATTCTTCGGCTTGACTATTCTAATAGCCAGTGCTTTATTCATCATATCATTATTGCAGATGAAACCTGGCTTCATTATTTCATCCCTTCAACCAAAAGAGCCACTATGGAGTATAAACATGCTGGATCACCAGAAACAAAAAAAAACAAAAACAAAAAAAAATAAATAAAGTTACACCGTCTGCTTGTAAAGTTATGTAAACCATATTCTGGGATTCTTGTGGTGTTATCCTGGTCGAGTATCTGGAACATGTCCATACCATTAACTGCTGATCATTATTATGCTACTTTGGTTATGTGAAGGTTATATGAAGCCATTTGACGCAAGCACTCTGTCATGTTAAGTGATTGTGTCATCATCTTGCATGATGATGCCCGGCCCCATACTGGTCGCCAAACTTTAGAATTGCTGCAAAAGTTGAAGTGGGAAGTCTGAAGTCACCATCCTGTATAGCCTAGATTTAGCACCCAATGACCATTTCATTTTTCTGAAGTTGGAGGAACATTTATCTGGAATGAGGTTCTCTTCAGGCTGTGATGTGAAAACAGCTACTGAGAACTAGCTCAGTGGGCAGGGACGTGATTTCTACCCAACCAGGCTAAACAAGTTCGTACTGCATTCGGATGCCTAAATATAAAATATGAAAAGTGTATAAAAGTATAAATGCTTAAATAGATTTGGTGATTATGGGGAAAAATGATAGGCAAGTTTGCCTCTTAACTTCCTTTTCTATTTTCTGTCTATTGTTAATAAATAATTTTGATTACCTTTGTAACTTTTTTGTTGGATCCACCCTTGTATTTAACTTCATTTTGAATTATGTATAAATTTGTTAGTTATTTTTAGAATATTTTTAGATTTTGTGCTTATTTAAGTTAATGCAAATAAGCTGCAAGTGTATCATTTAGTGAATGAGTTGAGAGCTTGGACAATTTTGATGAGTTAATTGCTTTCAGTTATCTCTCTGGCAGATGCTAGATTATTTTGCCACCTGATGCAGAAGTGGTGTAACCAGTTTCAGATTATCACCGTGGATACACAGTATAGTTAGTTACATTAAGCAGAACTTTTTTCTGGTCTGCAAAGTGTTAAATTATTAAATCAATTAAACCTTGTATCTCTCTGGTTACATTATAAATTTGTTGCTAATTTTTTAACTTTTGTTTTATGATTCATTGATTCCTTTTTAGCTTTTCTTATTGAGATTAGAAACATTATTGTTTTATCAATCGAATGTGATGACCATTTTTAAGGGCCATTACATTTATTGCTCTGCTTTTGGCTTGGCTAATAGCCATTTAGTTATTTCTCTGAGTGTTGTCATTCTAGTCATAACATCCTTCAGTTAGTTTTGAATTTTAATTGTAGCTGCTTAATAAACTGAGGAGTTTAAGGGTACTTTGTAATAATTTATATTTATAATAATAATTCTCAGAGTATATGTTATGATATAAATAATAGTTTACATAACTTGTGTCCACTTGATAAATTTTATGAACATTTGCATCATCATTGTTATTAATAAAAGATATATCTGTATGAGTACAAAATAATCATTCCTTAAAAATATGCTTTTAAAGCATTTTGTTCTCTCTTTTTTTTTGTCTGTTTGTTAAATTTCTTTTATATTTCTGTTGTAATAAAGAGATGCTATTCATATTAAATATATCATCTTTTAGCTCCACCTAAGGTACTTATTCCACCAAATCCTGAGTTTGTAACATGTTTTAATCTACCTCCTACAATTGAGTCTGCTGAAGAACTTGATGACAGAATTAAAAAGAAGCTGTTTAAATTGGGTAATATGAATTTCCATGTAACTTCTTGAATATAATTTCTTTAAGTTGTAATGATTAAAGCATGACAGGTGGAGAATAAGATTTTTATTGGATTAAAACTGTTTTCTTGTGTAATTAATCAAGCTGATATAACAGGTTAGAAATTATATAATTATAGCCTATGCTTCTTATGATTCAATGTAAGTCAGTGTCTTCTTTTCAAGAAAAATTTAAGTATGAATATGGTTTAGTGGATTTTGTAGCTGTTGTGAAGAAAGGTTGTGCACACACTTTTTGAAAACTTTTTTTTTATTTGCCTTATTTTTTACATTTTCAGATATCTTGCTTTTTATTTTGAAACTATTTGCAACAGTGCTGAGTTAAGTGACAGGCTGTACAAGAGGTCTCCTGTGACCTTAATAGGGTACGAGATGTGTTAAAAACTTTATTTAGGTAAATTTTTGATTCAGGGTATGATTAGCTAGGGTGAGTCACTAGAGTGATGTGCAGGAATATCACTTGTAAAGTTGCTTTTACTGCATATTTGTGTTTCACTGAATCTTATATTCTGCATTCCAAGACTAGACAGAAAACATTTTGCTGATGGTTATGAGGTCCAAATATTGCATCATTTTGTGTATTGGACATCCCTATTCCCGTCCAATAATTTTCTGCAATGCAGAAATGACTGTCCTTCCTCCGTTAAAAGAGAATACTTGTATATATGTATGTACTGTTAGGAGAACTGGTTTTCTGCAGTTTTTGTATGTTCAGCTTAATTTTCTCATTGTTTTATGCAATTCGGATAGATGTTATTGGCAAACCTTCTGATTAAGTAACTGATACTCAGCTCTGACCTCAAAGAAAATATATCTCTGCAGGCAAACCTTGTATAACATATTTTAAAAAAAAAGAAAAAAAAAATGTTATTGTTTGTGTGCAATGATAAAAATGGAATGAGCAAAATCAATGGAAGATGAAACTAGATATTTATCTCATCAGCGATTAACAGATCTATAATTCAGTCAGCTGAATTTCTGATCTCATCAGTTTACTGGCAAAAAATGTACAAGGTACATTGGTTTTCAAAAATAAGGAAAAAAGCATAAAATGAGTGATAACTTGTTCAAAAATAAGCCAATCCATAAAAAAATCCAATATGTTGTCCAAGAGTTGCTGAGTAAAACTGCATTATGCAAATTAGTAGCATTGCAATCAGAATAGGTCATCTGCGAGAACCATAAAATTGTATGTTTGAGAACAAACCTGCAGATTTCTGATACTGAGATAAGAAATCTGGGATGGGCAATTTGTAAGAGTGACCTCCAGGCATTATTTGCCTGAAGGAATGTAATGGAGAGTTATTGGGAGACTAGAGGTAGGACAGCCAGACAGAAGTGGTCAGATGTCTAAATGTGAGTCGTGTAGTTCATAGACTTTGGTAAGAATTTCTAATCACAAATTCAGCATCTAAGGATTTTCAGGCAAGGACAGCCAACTGCTACAACAAGAGCCGATGACCAGTATTTGTTGTTATGCACATGAAAGAATAGTATTGCAACTCTTAACTCAGCTCAGATCCTTCCTTGCTGCAGCCACTGGAATTTTGGTGTCAATGTCAACTGTGCTTAGAAGGCATTGTGAAAGAGGTCTGTATGCGAAGTGACCAGCCATTAGCATGTCAATCGCATCTCATCATAGGAGGGAACATTTCAGGCGGGCATGTCAAAATGCCCACTAGACAACTGATAAGATAGAGGGCTGTTCTATTTACAGATGAGCCTGGGTTTAGCCTCCAAGGCAATAGTATTTGTTATTTGATTTGGAGATAACTAGGAACCTGTTATTATCCATCAAACATCTGTGAATGAGATGCATACAGAGGATGCTGTATCTGTATTTGGGGTGGTATCCCTTTGGGGTGGATGCAAAGACCTCGATCAGACAAATAGAGATGACATCCTTGATGCTTATATCTGCTGTTATACCAGAGCAATAAGTGATTTCATGCTACAGGACAGCACAAGACTGCACAGGGTTCACACTGTGGATGATATACTTCAGCAACAAACAATTCAGTGCATATAGTGGCCAGCTTTATCATCAGACGTGAATTCTATTGAGCATGATTGGTATGGTTTTTGGAAGCCATATAGCTACTTTCACTCTTCCTCTTCAGACCCCTGCCGCGCTTGCAAGTGCAATGCAAGAACTACGGTTTTCACTTGCGGAACTGATAGACCACATAACTGACAGCATCATACATCAAGGTATTGATTCTAGGGGAGATCATACTATATACTGAAGGTAGTTTTCCTATACCAAACTGACATCCGATTTGTTCATTTTATGCATTTCTCTAACATGATAATTGTCTGGTAATTTCTTCTTGTGTTATTTTACACTTTACTATGTGTTGTATACTGTCAGTTTCATTAAATTCTACGTGTAACTTTTTGAGCAGTTGCCTTTTTTGTGATATTTCCTTAACTAATGATAACCAGTGCATAAAATTTTTCTTCCACATGTTAAAATTTGTTTAAAACCTTTAGCTGATTTAGAATAATAATTGATTAAAATAGCTTAAAATTATATAAAATAAGCAGATTCATTGTCCAAGACCACATAACTGACAGCATCATACATGCTTGTGTGAGCTGTGTTGATGCTAGGGAAGATCATACTATATGAAGGTGGTTTTCATACGCCAAACTGACACATCTGATTTGTTCATTTTATACATATGCTAATTTCTATAATATAATTATTTGGTAAATCTTTTCATATTTTATACTATGTGTTGTATACTCAGTTTCATTAAATTCTGCATCTAACTTTTTGAGTAATCGTCATTTTTGTGATTTTTCCTTAATGATAACCAGCTTATTTGAAAATTTTTAAATATGGTAAATTTGTGATACACAGTAAGGAGTCTGATTTTGTTTATTTTCATTTTCACATTGTTCCGATTTTAGTTATTATAATAAAGGGAATTATATGAGTTTTTTATTGCTGTGTAATTTTGATATTTTCTTCAGCATTCATACATTTGCAATTTTCTTGTTATTATTCTGTTTCGTCAGGGATTTTACATTTCATTTACATGTTTACATATTATTACTGCTGTTATTATTATGGTTACCTAATTTTGTAAATTAGCACTCAATGTATAATGTATTATATTTGTATACGAGATAAAGCCTGCATAAGGTAAAAAAGATAAAATTCTAGCTTTAGTTTTCAATTTTTTACTGTCTGTTATCTGATTATTTCCCCTTTCTATCATAGAAATAGTAACATTTATAATAGCTCTCTCTCTATTACATCAATTAAAAATGAATCCCTGTTTTATGATTCTCATGTAATGCCCTTGACATATATACTTAAATAATGCAAAATGTCTTTGAGCCAAATAATGGTATGAAAATTTGCAAATGAAAACATTAGTCTGTAGTGTAGATAAAACAGAACCATAAGTTTACTATACTTAGAAGTTTATCTTAGGGTTTTGTACGATTCTTCCATTTGGAGATTTTCAGTGATAAGGTGATCTCCATAATAGTATTCATGAAAGGAAAAGTTAGTACTGAGTAAAAATGCAAAGATTTTGTGAATTACTGAAGCATATAACTGTCACTTCCTATAAATTTGCAACCAAGCCAGATCTGACAAGATATTTAATGAATGATTGGCCAATAAAATTCTCAAAATTCTTCTGTTAAATTCGGCAATTCTTCTCTTAAATTCGGCATTGAAAGCTTTGGGGTGACAGGCATAGCAAATTTTAAGTTATTTCATTAGTCATTTGGTAGTTCTGAATTCTTTAGAGCTAATGTAATTGAAGTTTGATTCCAAGTCCTAATCCTGTCTTCATACCTCATATTAATAGTTCATATCATCAAACGTTTTTACTATTAAAGTGTTGTAAGCATTCAAGCAACATGTTGGTTAATTCTTCCATTTTTCCCCCTTCCAAAACATTAGTTCTTTAACTATTGAAAACATCGAACATCAAAATTTTTTAAATTTTCTATATGTGACAATGGGTAGAATGGGAAAAACATAAAAGTTGATAGAAATCAAAAGCTAACAACCAAATAAAGAGACTAAACAGTAAATCATAGACACTGACTGTAGTCATTTATTACAATGCATGTTCTTTTTCTAATGAATGTGTTAATCTTGCTTGGCCTTTACTAGATATTGTGTGAAGGTTCTTAACTTTTACAGAATGGTGCATGGCTTGAGAATTAATGTTATACAGAATATTATTTGAAAACTAATGTTATAATAATGAATAAATATATTCTTTTTATAAAAGCATAGTTTCTTTTTCAGGCATTTAGTGATACATCAGATAATTCTGAAAACATGCAAGTTATTATTCCTTTATTTTAGAAGTGTGAGTTGGAGAGGTGGATATGTTTTGCATTAGCAGGAATGATTTTTATTCTTCTTCCATTATAAATATCACATCATTTATAATGCCTTTATTTAAGCCTGGCATCAGAAACGAGTTGTTTCCAAACAGCTTAATACCTAGATATTAGCTTTTATATTGCACCGAACAAAAGAGTCTTTATTATAAATTCGGAAAAATTTGTCTAAACTCTAAATAACACTCTGTGTATGCTTTCAGCATTGCTGTCAAGGATTAGTTTGGACAAGATAATTACAAATGCAATAATCACTGCTTATGAAAATATTTCCGCCAAAATAAACAAACCCAAAATTCAGAATATACCTGAAGTTAAGCATCTTACCCGGGTGAGATGCATTGCATGAAGGAAGTGTGAGTGTACACAAAAACCAAGTGACAAACACATCTTCAGTAGACTGCATAATGCAGTCAGATGTCTTGCCAATGAAAAGCACAGTTCAGCTGAATGAAATATATCAATTTTGTGTCTGAGAATGGCAAACTGCATTTGGTGAACTGCAACCCAGCTTATGAAACACTGTAGTATTTTTCTACCCCTAAATACCCCTAAAGGGATCTAGTACACTGAATCTCAGAAGGCAGAATTTTTAGCATCACATTTGGAGTATTAGTTTCACATCAACAACATTCAACACAATCAGATATTAATTTGGAGATATGTTATGCTCATTTGCAATAAATGCACAAGCAAACATCAGCCCAGTCTTCCCATCTAATGTAAAATGCCATATCAAGAAGATAAACAGAGGAAAAACATCCTGGGATGACCAGAATTTCCAAGCTTATGATCAGAAACATGCCAATGAAGATAGTTTTAAATTAACCAAGGTTATTAGCATTTTTCTAAAATATGAGTATTGTCCTTATTCATGGTAAACTGCAGTCGTCTCACTGATAATCAAGCCAAATAAACCACCAACCTATCCGGAGAGCTATAGACCAGTGTGCATTCTTTAATCATCAGAACTTTTGAGGTGGTAATTTTGAATGGATTCAATTTGTTTATCAGAACCAAAAACATATTGATCATACATCAGTTTGGTTTTTGATGAAAGTTATCCACCACCCAGATGGCAGAGAAAATTTCTGAAGGAATGCAGTATAAGACATTCACTGCTCAGTTTTGATATGGTCTAATTGTGTTGCAAAATCCTACTCAAAAACAAATGATTTTGGTTCCCCTTGACGAGGTTCTTGTATAACATATTTCAGAGTAAAATTTATTATGTATTCTTTTCATTGTTATTTCACGTAAATATTGTCGTCTGCAGAAATGTATTGGACTTTCATGTTTTCCTTTTCAGGTGCATCTTTAACATTCTTATAACATTTTTGATCTGCTGTGATGTATGCTTACTTTTGGTTGTGTTTGGAAAAAGTTTTATTTCAGATAATGATACATTGTTTTCACTTCAAAACAGTAAGCATTTAACATCGGTTTGATGTTACAAACTTTCTTTCATGGGTGATAATTTTGAATTGCCTTAGAATTGCATATAATGGAGATGCAGCTTTTTAGTTTATTGACACAGGTCATCCTTGTTGTAATATATTTGCTTGATGCCTAAATATGGAAAATTTGCTACATCTGGTGAATCAAAATATTTTAGAACTGTTTTTAATATGGGTGCGTTGAATGGGTGCATTTAAAGATAAAACAAAATGTCACTGTTTAGCATTTACTGTGATTGTGAAAACAGTAGAAAAAGAATTAACAAAAGAAAGGGTTGATGGCAAGAAATCTTCAGATTCTTTTGATGCAGTTGCATGACAGATTTGAATGATCAGGTGTTGTTCAGCAGAATATTTTAGAACTTTTTGACAGGAGATTAAGAATTTGGAAAGGAGTATTCTGTTGTGTAGAGGTATGAAGGCAAAATTCCTGACATGTAATCTTAAAAACAGAATATAGGGTTCAAAATTTCAAGTGAAGGTGATAGTGAAAGCATTACAGCTGAAGAAAAATGTATGAAAGATTAAATGCTGAAAATTACAGCTAAAGAAATTTCCAGGTGATGGATGCTTGAGAATACTTAGGATTTTGGAGCCAGTTTTTCAAAATTCATGATGATCCAGATACAGTTCCAGAGGATAAATTCCAATATTTATCATATTCCCAATTCCCATACTATATAGCTTATAGTTTTCCAAATCCATGTATTTGAGGCTTACTTATAACGTGGAGAATTAAAATCAGTATTGATAAATCAACAGCTATTCTCTTCACAGCGAAGGAAAAGAGGTATAAAAACTATTGAATGTATAACATCACACTACCCTAGACTAGAAAAATGACTTGTCTCAGGGTTATCCCTGACTATGATCTTTCATCCTAAAGTATCTCTAAACATGTCCATAATTCAACAGTGCAGCACTTGTATTGACAGTGGACAGTTTGAGCACCTACTTTTAGATACCTCATGCGGAAAACAACTCATGACAGCCATGGATACATACTATCAGCCGCATCATTCTATAATGTAAAGGGAAATGTATTTTAATATGTGCATCATTTGGATGATGCCATGGTATCTCTGAAGGTATCTTACAGTTCATAGTTCAGTGGCACAGCACTTGTATTGATAGTGTGAAGTGGAGTGCTTATTTTGCCTCACACAGAAAACAGTAAATGACAGTCATGTATACAGGTATATTCTGTAATCTTTGTCTTCCAATAATTTGGAGGAAATTGTATTGTAATTAAAATTAAAACCACCATTCAGTGCAAATGGTAGCACCTCAAAACAAGGTTAGGGAGGATTTCTGTTAATCATATTAATAATATAAGTATTAGAGGTTAATTGTTTGGCCACAGACAGTATCAAAATATATAATATAGAAATACATGTTGTTTTTTAATGTCTCAATTTTATATTCTTAAATGATGGGCTGATCTGGCTTAGATCATCATCTGCTGTATATTTTAAGCAACAGTTTTTTATGTTGCTTGGATGTGATATTTTTCAAAAATGGGTACTTTTATTATCATCAAGCATACTTATGCCATCATCGAGTATTTGTTATTGAGCTTCAGTCAGTGTTTGTTTCTCAGAAACAAACTGCCTACATTTATAATTTCACATTGAAAGTACTTGAACTTTAAATATAAGTAAATTAGTCTTGAAAGTACTTGAACTTTCAAGACTAATTTTACATAACCTTTGTACATAAACACATTTTCCCCTCGTGTCATTTTTTTGTGTTCCTGCCTTAACTCGTCACTACATTCCTATAAAAAAATGCATGTTTTAGTACGCTCCACAACCCCTCCAAGTTTGTCTCATGATCTATGAAACACCCTGTACTATAAAAGAAAGTAAGAAAGCAAAATATCGTAAATTATTAGCTAGTATATACCAAGTGACATAAATTGCGTGATAAGGCGGTCATGCTGCTCAGAGGGTTTGTTTAATTATTAAAAAGTCTCCAGTTTGGTTGTTCATCATCAAATACTGCTAAGCTTTTAGAAACAATATCTTTGAATATAATAAGATGTAGAATAAATTGCATTTGACATGACTCCTGCTAAAACAGTAATTAGATGTACGCTTGTGAATATTTATTATCTTTTTATAATAAATTTTGAACCTGCAACTTAATATTACCTTAATACAAAAAATATTGTCTCTGAGTGTGAAAGTGATAAAGGTCACATACTTGCATGAATCATATGTATCACTTTTTTCTACCTCTAACAGCTATTTAATACGGTTTGACAAAGCATGATTCATATGTTTAAAATAAATTAAGGATTTGATTAATTACTGATTAAGCACATGTTAATTTTATGTATTTGCATGAGCAACGTTTTGGAACATGGGGCCTTTCATGATAGTGACTTGCCTCACTATATAAATTTATCTTATAAAAGTAACATGATTTTATTTCACAGTGAATTTTCATTATCACTCACTTCTAAAAGTAACATGATTTTATTTCACATTGAGTTTTCATTATGGCTCAATATCAGTAGCTTGATTAACTTTTGATTAAGTGTTTTGTTTCTGCATACAGTAGTACAGTACAAAGTCCGTAATCCAAACTCATTGGGACTTCGGCGATTCCAGATTAGGGGTTTTTCCGGATTATATATCATCAATTTAAATCTGGTAAGATAGCATGCAGAAATTATATAATTAAAAATATGAAACCATAATTTGTGAAATCCAGAGCAATTATGATCTAAAGGATATAAAAATTTACAAAAAAAGAGCTTAATATTTATTTGTTTACTTTATTAAACATTTCTTTCAATGTAAGTTGTTTAAGTTGCTTCATTTTTTGTATTAAAACTATCTCTTTAATTCTATAAACAGACATAATTTCTTGTTCAGTTACAAAGTTCCACTGATCAAGTCCTGTAATTGCTGTGTCGAGAGTACTGACTAACTTGTCAATCGAAATTTTATTTGTTTTCAATAACCTCTCTGTTACGTTCTTCATAACGGAAGCGGTATTTTCTGGATCTAGACCCCATACTACAGATTTCGCCATCTGTTGATTGATGATGGGGCATTGTCGTCGCAATGAAAACTTCTGTTACATCATCTTCATTCATTACCGCTTCTCCACATATCTTTACAAAATCCAATAACTGGAAAATTCACCTTTAGTTTGCTATGTCCGAAAACCTTCAAATTCCTGGCTATCATGTTCATCGTCCTCACCATGAAATGTGGTAGCTGGCTATAAATTATGCCAAGAATTTTTTAACGTATCTCGATTAACGCACATGTGTAAACACATTATGCACATGCATAAAGCATGGGGAAAAAAGTTTGTGGCTTTGAGGTCTCGGATTATAGATCATTCCGGATAATGGACGTCCGGATTACGGACTTTGTACTGTAGTTACTATGTCATCTTGACATTAATGCAAATGACATTTTTTTTTTGTAAGCACTTTAAAAGTCGTTCACTGGTTTTATTTCCAGGCATTCTGGACAGTTTGGAACTTGAAGAACCAGAAGATAAGGTCCTGACGAAACTCCAAACTTTACAGAGTAGGCTGAAAGCTATATCTGCACAAACAGTACCTGTAAGAAAGAGAATCTTGGAGTTGGCAAAAAAAGATATGCCATTACAGAGCTATTTTAAAGAAGTGGAACAAGCTGAAAACAAAGTATGCATTAATTGTTTCAATATTGTAATTCAAAACAAATTTTCTCTTTATTGAATTATTATTATTTACTTTATATAGCTTCATTTGTGAAATCTCTGCATAAGCTAAATAATTTATCATAACTGGAAGTTAAGGAGGTATTTTATTAGTTAAACAAACAAGAAAGTGCATATCCTAAAATCTTAATGTTTTGTGTATTGTATATATTGTACTGGAATATGTTTATGTAGTTAGAGCAAATTATTGTACTTCAGTTGAAAATTTCAGATTTTAAACCAACGGCAAAGGAGGAATGCCCAGTGGAAAAAAAGAGAAACTAGCTCGCATCTATGTTACACATGGGGAAAATCACGGAAATGCTCATACAGCCAGCACATTCACATATACTTGGCCCTCGGACCTAACTACTAATGGTCAGTGGCTTTTATTGCTCAGCCACTAATGGGGCCATTGCGTACAAAATATGGGCTATTGCAGAAAGAAAATATTCTGAAAAGATTATACAGAGTATGGACTATCACTGAGAGCATTCATGCTTCCTTTCTTGTTTTTCATACTTCCTATTTCATTAAGTAATTTTAAGTTCTTACCTGCCTTAATGCTATTAAAATATCATGGAATTGTAACAAAAATTAAAATTTTTCTCTGTAAGCCTTTTATTCTGCCAATAAGTACATGGAATAGTCATAATTTGATCTGCGGTTTGATTTTTCGGTTGCCAGAATCGCTAGACTTGATAAACGCTCCAGGCTCACCGATGATCGTACATATTTTTTAATATGTTTTAATTTGCTGAAACTTCAATCTGAACTGGTTGAAGTGTTCGTAATTCGCCCTCAAACAGTTCATCAGATTGCTTTTTGTGTTTTGGAATGTTTTCTTTGTCAGAATAGACTCAACTGCACTTTTTTCGGCTACTGTTTTAGACTCTTCTATCCAATATGCCATAGGATTTTTCTCTCATTTTTTATAAATCGTCAGTTTTGTTCAGTTCTTTTGTTAACTACACAGAATGCGGAAGAGGATTTCCTTTTGAATATCTATATTTACTCGATCGAATTCTGGAAAAATATTACCTCAAATTTTCAGGTTGATAGTAAATTCAAAATTTTTCACAACATGTATGAGATGTCTTACCTGGTGCTTTGATTCCGCATCAAGAGAAATAGATTTAATTTCTTTTAAATATTTTATATTTCCGGTAAATTCATTAGAAGAACTTTCACAGCGACATATTTTGCCGACCATCTCATCTGGCTGCTTCCTTTAAAATTGTGTTTTGTACATTGTTTCATAATATACCACCGAGTAGTGCATCCGACAAAAAAGCGAAGTATTTTCTGAGTAATTCCAAACAGATTAACTGCTTCCGTGCATGAAGAAGCAGAATTTCACACCGACAAGATACAAGGAGCGAGCCAAACATGGCACAAATTCCTCCAGCTTCCTAATAAGTACAAGCTAGTTCTTTTTGTTTGTTTGTTAAAAGGAAAAATCGTACCATCGTCCCCTCCTAGGAGAATAGTTTTCTGTACTTACTTTTGGATTCAATCCTAGCTTGTACTGATTTAGAAATGCCATCCATATTAGACCCATTGTCCGTAAGACTGACACTGACATTGTCCAATATCTAAACCATCAAGTGTCAATTAAGACACTAATTTTCTACAATGCATTCAATAAATACATTCTTCCTGTCTTTTCACCAACTTCTATGAAATCAATTAAATTTTCCTTTATCTCGCAGTCATCACCATGCGTTTTTACGTATTGAATCACCTGGTTCATTTTTTTCTGTATGAGACATATGGAGTGCAATCGAGCATTATTGTGTAGTATTTGGCTTCTTTAATATCGTTTAAAATGCTACTTCAGACTGTTTTGCCTTTAAGTTAATAACTTTATTTGAATTATCTTTGATAAATATGATTCTTTTCCTTTGTTAGGTGCTTTGACTGGTACCTAAGAGTTGAATTATGTTTGGCAAGCAGAGAGATTAAATTCAGAAAATTTTGTTGGCTAGGTCTAGGACACTTTGTGAACAGGCTACTTGGGATTTCATCAGACCCAAGAAAAGAACGACAGTTTGTTGAAAAATACAGTCCCGCATCTATGACTATATAGAATATCTCTCCATTTTTCTTTCTTTGTATGAATGAGTCACTCAGTGTCGTTATCCATGCCTTGACACGATTTCATTTGTTGTACTCGAATTTTCCACTTAATCATGCACCTCTGTGGATTCCAGACGCTTCGTGCTCGGTTAATCTTGCAAAACTTTTTTCCAATTAATGAATCCTGTAGTATGGTGTAGCGGCAGCACCATGTTTCTGATAAATCTTGCAGGGTATACAAAAAATTGCATTCTTGTCTTTCAAATATGTAAACCAAGATCTTTTAAGCTTTTCATTATTCACTGATATTCTGTATCACATGTCAAATGTCTGCCATCATGTTCAATGGGACTGAGATTTACGTTTTCTGGATGTTTACTGGCTAATAATACTGATTGACTGCTTAAGAAAGATTGTTGGTGATCGTTCATTTTTTTCTATGACCAGCCAACTGCATGGATCCAACAAATAAAAAATTTTTAGTTTTTCGTCTTTCTGCTGCCTGCCCCCATCTAAATGAAGAGATCTTTATATCATGGTTTCATGTCCTCCAGCTATTTGTTTGATGTCGATGAAGGTTTTTCTTTCAAATGCTGACTTGTAGATTGTTTGGAGATGGGGGTCATGTTTGATCTTGCAAACTGCAAGAAATATTAATACACTCTAGAATCACAGCATAATCGGAATTGCGGCAGGGTCTTACAGTTTACTTCTTCCGTGGAGTTATTTCTTTATCTTATCTGAAATTTGTTTTCTCTGTTTGGCCTTATCTTTGGCTCGTTTTCTATATTCCTCTTTTTCTCCCCCCTCGGAGCACAGATTCTTTTAATCTAAATGAAATTCACTATGAATTGCCTTAATAACTAAGAATTAACGTAATTACACTGAACAGTCCTAAATAAATGCTCGCGTCTCATTAAATATAGTACGGGCTATTAAAAGCGAGCATATCTAAAAAAAAAAAAAGAAAGAAAAAAGACCGAAGAAAGAGTACAGAAGAGACCTGAAAACTAAAAAGAAACTATAAAAATAATAAATCTAACTTTAAAATCCAAAATGTGCTCCACTGTTCCGAGTCAAACCAAAGGTGAGCCTACGTTGCTGACTGTCTGCAAAAAAATCTAAATGCCTTGCTTCATCTTGAAGACATAATGACGGTGTCTTGTATATACTCGACGAATATTAATTTGAATTATTTCATTTGTCCAGGATGGCCCAAGGTTAATTTTTTTGGGTTAGCTCTTAGAAAATAGTTACAATTCTTCTCCATTTCCCAACAGACGTTCCTATGGAAACCAGGAGATTTCTTCAACAAGCTATCGGCTTATAAGGTGACGCAGTCACTAAAGTCAGGTATCAAGTTCAATTTCTCAATTGAATACACCCCCCCAGGCAGGAAACGATAGAGGGACTTCAGACATTACTGATAGGGTCAGTCTGATTCTATCATGATGCCTGGAGTCCCTCTATTGGTCTCTTTCTGATCTTATATTTATAGTTGTAATCGGCTGTACTTAACTTTATTTTAGCTCATTTTCCTTTGTAAAAGGGTTCCTAGTATTTAATTATAAATTTTCTTAAAAGAGGTTTTTAAACTTGGCCTTAAAACTGTTAACATTGTACTAAAATTAGAGAGCTGTTTTAACGAACAGCATACCAAATACGATCCAGAGTTATATTTGAATTTGCCGCCCGCAAGAGTTGCCACCCAGGGCAAGAACCCTGGCTTGCCCCCCGCTAGATCCGGGACTGGCTAGCATGTATAAGTCTGGACATCCATTGGCTGCACATGACCCTTCAAGTGTCAGCCCTTAATAGGAATACTTTGTAATGCACACTGACTGTCTAAGCTAAGAATGACACCATTTGTACTAACTGAAATGGGATGTGAGTGTAATGTGCTCTCTCTCTTTCCAAACGACTGCATTTGCAGTGTAAGAGAACCATCTTGCAGTATTCCTCATTAATAACTAGTTGTGTTTATATTTGTTAATCCAGTCAATACTCTGTCTGACAAACCTTCCCTGAATGCTATTTGGTTTCCTAATAAGGCACGATGTTACATTGCTGTTTGCTTGTTAATATCTCAACTATCTTCTACCCATCATTGTTTTGGAGGCAAATTTTGTTTCATGATTTTATATTTTCTGATGTCATTACTGACACGTTCATACCAGCAATCAAGATACCAAGGGATCTACATTTTATGTTTTTCCATGTTTTAGAGATACGAAGGTTGAACTTATGCCGGATGCTTAATGCATTGTATATAATCATGTCCCTATTATTCATAACGACACTTTCAGTTCATAGATCCATCTTCAAGCTTTAGCTGGTGCAATCTGATTGCATTTATAATGCACTTTTGAAGTGCTAATCTTCATTTCTCTTTGTTTCTTCTGGTTTTCCATGTCCCTTAAATGCATTCATCTCACTAAAGTTTGGATTGTTCTTATTAAACCGTTATCACTTCTATCGACTTGTGTGGCTAGGCAGGACATTTCGAGAAACGAGATTCTAGTAGCGCTGGTTTATACAGGAGGCTTCTCAGAAATGATTTGTCTATCTAGGCGCAACATGTCCCGGCTATGAGCAACATTTGAAACCTTTCTGAAAATGTTCCGTCTGGAGACGTGCTCCGCGTACGTTCAACCAATCAGGCGAAAGTTCTGCTTCTGAAGGATGACGGGTAATTTGCAATATGGCAATGGCTCTCGTTGTGAAATCATGGACGGTGATCATGGATATAGATGCTGATTTAATTGAAAAAATACGCAAAAGCCGTATATATATATATTGTTGTAGTATAAATGTCTAAGTCATTTTTAAATGTTTATATATTCATTAAATTTATAATCATGGAAATTTCAGAGTAGACAATATACAATATAATGTGCTATTTGTGATTTGTTTACAAATTTATTCGTCACTGAAAGTTTGCCAAATTTGTCATATTTCGGGCTGATTGTGTGAAAAGAATGTTATTGTTATATAATAGAATTTTTTTTTATTAAGGGGAATAATTTTTTAAAATATGTTTGTATACGTGCGACTTTACTTTTCTGTTAATTACTTTTATTACTTTTAAATTGAAATTGCATAATCACCAATTATGTGTATACTTATTAAAACATAGATTATTTAATAATGAGGACACACATTAAATTTGTATGCTATTATTTTCATGTTATTAATGAAATGCTTTTTAGATTATAAACACATTACAAACTATATTTTTATTATAAATGCTACATATTGAAAGATTGGAAATTTTTGAATTTATTATTATGAATGATGAAAAACATTTGTATATGCATTCATTAATAAAAATCTTATTCATTACATTAATACTAATAAACATACATCAACAACTTATTGCATGTCTCTATGTATAGGTAAATATATGACTTATTAGATGTGTGTGTGTGTGTGTATGTGTAATAATAAAATTCCATAGTCAAGAATACACTTAAATTGCTAACTGTATGTTCTTTTCATTTTTAATGGTGACGGTCTCTTATTTGAAAGTACGTGGAATTAAATCCACAGTCCCGTAGTCAAGTTGTTTTTCCCGCCTTTTCTACATGTACAGTTTTAGAATGTTCTAGAGAAATTTTAAGTGAACTGGAATGGCTGACGAGGCCGACGTCATTTCTTGGAAGCTCCGCCTTTCCAGAGGCTATAAAAGGACTCGCAAAAGAATATCGGGGCTTTTTCTTAAATGTCACGATGCAGTAAACTTCATACAAAAAGTTATTAGTAATTCTTTTTATTTACTCCGGATATCTGATTTTGTAACTGCTATTTCTCCTGAATAATAATAAATGGATCCTGTTTTTTTTTTTTTTAAAACTTATCGTCTGATAATTTAAGCTACGACTAAAGCTGGTACATCACATATATATATGTTTCAAAAGAATATAGTAAAGTTAAATTCAGAATTTAAATGATATTGTAGATTAGTTCGTAGCAATAGTTAATCATTTATTTGTAATTCAATTTCATTTAAAATTCAATTAACTTTAAATTTGCTTTTTGCGAATAGAGAATGTTTGTTAAATTTAAATAATAATTTAATAATATAAATTTAATTGCAAAAAAGTTTATTTGAAGTTATTTCTAATTCATATAATCGGTATGTAATTGTCAGCAACTGTAGTCATCAGTTCTGGGCACATTATCATGGATATGGAATACACAGTTGAAAAATGATTGAAATGCATTTTGTGCATTAGGGTAGTCATTACAATTCACCCACTTACACACAACCTTTGCATTTGTAACTTTACTTGGGAATTTAAACAAAAAAATTGAGCAAGTAGCCTTTATGAAATATTTAACATTTTTGACCAAAACAAATATCAGTAAATGGCATTATATCATGTACATAAAAGTTATTAAATAAATATATGGATACAAAAATAACTATTAATAAAATCAAATATATACAACAGATCATTACAAAGAATAGAACTTCTCTTTGAACGGTTTTTTTCTCTTTAGCTTTTAGAATCACCAGAGTTGAGATAAAAATGATTTACTTAATAGCTATTACCTTTCTATTATTTTCCATAACTAACAATAAAGTTTAAAACAAAAAGAGTGTGAGCGACACAAAATACAACACGGAAAAGCAATCGTCACATAAAAGGAAACGTCGCTTTCTCCAATCTGAGCGATAACTGATTCTTGTTTGGCTTTCAGCCTGTTTATCAAGTGAAGATGGTAACCCGTTTTTGCAGAAACTGATTTTCCAGAATTGTTCCTTCTAACGTTATGTTTCGGCAACAAATATCTTATGTGATAGCAACCTTACACTACGCAGAAGTGTCATTGATACTCAACTGAGAGGTTATTCTCTTTTATGATGTATTTTTAGAGATATCTTGTCTTTTACGTGCATTGGTAATTTCTTTTTTGAAATGTTTGTTAATCTGTGAAATCTTTGAACATGAGTACTTGTACTTTAAATGTTTTGGTGATTGTGTACACAAATGATATGTACATTTCCTTTCTATTAATTTATATAGTTGGGTAAAAATATTAAGTTTATTATAATTTTAAAATGAATTAATGGTAATCTAATGCATTTGGCTTTGAAATGTATGGTGTAATATTTTTATCACGTATTTAATTTAACTTAAATTTTTATAAAATTTCTCTTTTAATGTATATTCAGTAAAAATCAAACCATCTGACCTTCAATTCAAGTAAACTGAATATTTTCGAATTTAAAAATATTTTTTAATGCAAAATTAAGCAAATAAGAGACTTGCTACTATGTTATAAAACATGAATAGGACTACGATTTCGAATCAAAGAAAAACTGTTTCCGAGCAATGGAATTTAGCACCTATAATGGATAAGCATGACATAAAATTGGCATTATGCAAACCCGATTTATTCTCGAAAATATTTTTCAACCGCATTTTGAAAAGATGTATAAAATTGGGGATTTGTCAATGGAATAGTGTGCAGTAAAGTACTTTCAATTTATGCTAGAATCAAGAAAAGTGCGAGTTTGTTGAAAATGGGTAAACACTGGCTGTGCAATGTGAAAAAATGTTAAGTTTTTTATATGTTTATGTTGATAAACCAAATAAAAAGTGATACGTTCCTTCAAGCTTCTGCCGGAATGACTGGCATAAGTTTGGCCTCCAGTTTTCATGGTCGATGGAAGTTCTCAATGAAATATGTTGTTTTAATTTGGTGTTCATGCTATTTTTTTGGAATGTTCTTTTTTCTTCCAACGATCTCACATAATTTTAATATTCAAATTAATAACAAAGGAAACGACTCTTTTTATAGTTTTAGGTTGGAATTTTATTGTCCATTCATCAGCTTTTTTGCCATGAATTGTACTTTTTATATGCTCAATTATCTGGAATTTTCGTATATCCGAAATTCAGCATTTTTTTAGCTTTCCGGCTAGTCAAGCTATTATTGTTTTTAAAAATGAAATTTGCATTTTATACTAAAAACCTGACCATTTCATATTGCTTTTCATGTATCAGTAGCTGAAAAAAAATTAAGTATGTGTAATCTAATAAAAAATATATCCTACTTAATATTTGTGCACTTAAAAATTGAGAATGTCTAAGTTATATTACAGAGCTTTGTATGGTTTAAGATTTTAATTTCACTGTAGTAAATCAAGCAGTAAATTTCAATATATCAAAATCATGAGTTCTTAACTTTTGTTCCACTGCTCTTATAAAACATTTTTTTAATGATACATTGATAGCTTTCAAATGGATTATCAGGGCTTATAGATAATTTCCAGTTATGAAATTGCTGCAAAATTTATGTATTTGACAGTAAATTTAGACCACTCTGGATAGTATGGTAGTTGGTAGAGGTTGACTGAATGTGCTGCTTGTCTCGAGTTTGTAACCTGGGCGGGGCAGCAACATTTATAACAATAGTCTATTTGACAAATGGAGGAGCTGAAGTACTGGATATGCTGCCAGCCAAAATTAGGACAAAACTTAGCTGAGCAGCCTATGTATGTTTAGATAAATAAAAGAATATTGCTTAGTTGAGTAATTTCCTTTGTGTTATATTTCTTCTTCTTGTTATTGTTATGTAAGGTTTTCTGTTTTTCTCTTTTTGAAATTTTTTATCTTTTATACAGCTAATTACTGCATATAGAAAAATGTCAAGGCTCAGAACATTTTATCCTGAGGTGTATAAAGAAGATCGTAAAGTTATGGCATATAAAAGAGAGCATGACCTTTTAGAGAGTAGACATAATTCTACTGTTATGAAATTCTTGCTAGAATATCAAGAAGTAGTTCAAAGGTCAGAAAACAGAACAGAAGCTGATGATTAAGTGAGATTAATTCATTTTATGTTCATTATCTACTTCTGTTCAGAAGAAAAACTATGTACAGATCTTGCATACAGAGTGTGCATTTTGTTTGGATTGTAAATTGAATAGTTTCATTTTGTTTAATGTTCAAACTTTCTATGATTATTAGTCATGTGAAGTTTAGATAATATTTGATTAAGGCTTTGAATATAACATATTCAGCTCATATATATTCCATAAAGTACTATGTTGTTGATCAAAATAATGTTTTGTGAATTTATTGAATAATTTAAATATTGTTTTTATAATCTTTTATAATTTTATTACTTTTTAATATACCTAAATGGTTGTGTGATATACATATATGACAACTTAATTATTATCTCCTGAAACTTTTTAAAATATTTTATGGGGAAATTCCATGGGAAAAAAATTTACAGCTCTTAAAAATAAAATTTGATGTGAAATATTCACTGAAATGTACTAGTCGCATTAGAATAATTGAAAAAAAGGCAATATCATTGTTCGAGTGCATAATGCTATAAATAATGCTGTAAGGTGAATTCATGCAAAAGAAGTGGTGATTGCCAAATATCTAACTTTTAGAAGTTTTTCGAATTAAAGAGAAAGTGCAATATTGTTTTCTTGTACATTATGAATATAGTGTCTTCATTGCCACAGAGTGAACATTATCACACAAAAAATCCTCATTCAATTCCTTTTCAGAACTTTGCCAGAAGCTTAATTTATTTAGGTTAACCTGCATTAGCTTTATGGTTTTTTAAGAAGGAATTGTGTTGATTCTAATGCTTCAGCAGTTATCCAGATGCATGATAGAATTGCTGATAAAGAGTAGTATTGTACTGGATGCTATTGAAATACAAATGAACCATTGTTTTAGTTAATTGCTTCAATTTTTATACATTAAAAAGAATTTTTCTGTATTATAGGCATCGTGATGTGACATTATTTGTTTAGTTTATATTTGGCAATATTAGTGAAAAAATATAACTCTTCCTTTAACCATTACATTTTACATATTGGTATGTGAAATGTATAGATCAGAGGTCAGCAATCTTTTTGCTACAAGTGTGCAATAAAAATCTTAAAAACCATTAAGGGTGCATAATTTAATTAAAAAAAATTACTACTTTAACTTTCTAATGACAATGTTGTACACAATAATTATATTAAATTGCTAAATAATTATTTTGAAGTATGTGTGTTTATATAAGATAAAGTTTATATATTGTGTTAAATAAAAAATCAAAATTAAAAGAGTATGCACGAAATCAGATTAAATAAAATTACAGGTAGTTATTGTTATATGCATAAATTTAATGTAAAATTCAATCCTTTTATTATTCTGCTAAAATTGTAATCAAGCATATAATTGGAATTACTAGTTCATAAGTTATCAGAATATGTATCGAAGTTTATTTTGATACTTTTGTTTTGAATATATTATATTTGAATACACATATTAAAATTTATAAACATTTGACAAACAAATGTATCTTTAGTGAACATTTTCTCAAAATGGGATGACTGTTCTTGTTGACTTAGTTATAAAATATGTTGTTATGATGTGCTTTTGAAATGAGGTCATTTTTTGAGTTTATTATTTCTAATTCTAGGCTTTCAGTATCAAGATGAAAGCATTCAGATAGTATAGCACATACATTGCATTCAGTAATACTGATCAGATTTATGAAAAACATAACAGTTCTTGAGCCACAATATTGGCAAATCTGCAAGGAAACTGCTTAAATAAAGTATGTATAAAATATATATATGATGCAGCAGTAAAGTCTGATAATGTGTTTTTCATCAAAAAGGATATCAATAACTGTTACTGAGATTTGCATTTACTTACTGTACTCATCATATTAGTGATGTGACAATCTTCCCATGGTAATTTTAGATTTAATTCATTAAACTTTGCTATTCTATCTGTTAAAAATCAGAGATGATCAATCAGTTTTTGTTTTGTGTCTGTTCTTAAAATTCACCTTGGGATAAGTAATTTTTTTTTACTTTTGGTAAAACATTGCTCAGCCTTTTCACTTTGGTATTATAAAGAAAGCCTGTGAAATGAGCGTTTTTATCTTCCAAAGAAGTTTCATTAGTTTATATTGTAGTGCATTTGATTTTATTGTAGAAGTAATAATTTTTCCTACAGCTAATATTGCGTTTTCAAAACTGGTAATTTTTGCCAATAGCAACGTAATAAAATTAGGAAACATGGAATCTTCTCTTGAGAGGGCAATAAATCCAATTCTTACCAGTCATTACTAACTGAAGTTAGGTTCAGAGGTATTTTTGCACTGGTATTATTTTATCAATTAAAAGATTTTTGGAAATTGAAAATATATGCAATCCACTGAGTGAGGTCTTTGAATGGAAAAATTTTATGTTATTCTTTTGTAGAAGAATGATCAAACATCATCTTCATGCAGATTGACTAACTTTGCTACATCTGTTAGATCTTTCGATTCATCCAGTTGTAGTAAAAGAAAATAAATTTTCCCACATCCGTTAGTTCTGTCTCTGTGATGTTTTTAAAGCTGAAACTAATTGTGTTTTGTTTTTAATTAAAATGTTAAACAGTGATTATTAAGCTTCTTTTACTATCTCCCCTTCTGTAATTTTTTTCTTTGTTCGTACATACAAAGTTGGAATCAATGTGATTGTCACAGGCTTTAATTATTTCAGCATATTATTAACGAAATTTTGTTGGAAAGTCATTGCAAATTTAAAAGATGAAAACTTTTTTCGTAGTGTTTCAGAATTCACTGGGTAGTATAAGAAATGGAATGGACAGTTCTCTGATGTCCTTCAATATGGTTTACTTTGCAATTGCTATCATATTATTACACAGTGAGCCTACATATTTGCCTTTATAGTCAGTAAAGCAACTCGTTTTTTCCTATTAATTGTTATAATGATATGCTCTTTTTCTCTGTAATGATTAATTTAAAATAAAATAGAAAATTTTTTCTATTAATATTAGGTAAATTCTCAATTATTTTTGCTTTTTTTGTAGCATTTTTTTAAAAATTGAATCAGTTTATTGAAAGCAAGATGTAAAATACTAATCACAGCAAATAAATGGCAACTATACGAATAAAATTAACATGTGAAATTCTAATGTCTTTACTGCACGTGAAAATCAAATTTATTATGTTTACACCATAAAAACAAATGATGAGAACTTTTCTCAGAATTAGTTAGGAGTAGGCTCGACTAGAACTTAGCAGCTTGGAATACAATAGCATATTAACCATTACTAACAAAAGAAACATTTAAAAAATGAAGAGTGGAGACTGCATAAATTGAAATATACATTCTGGTGGAGTTAGCTTCTTAAAGCAGGTATGGATACAGCTGGCTCTGTGTTAGTACAATGCATATGTTCTGTTTGTATTTATTGCCATTGTGTACGAGGTAAACCTGGTCTTTTTCGCTAGCATTTATTTTGAATAAGTAATGTCTTCTATATGCTTGCTTTATGTAGTTAAAAATGTAAAGTTCTTTTCTGAATTACTACTTAGCCCTTTTCCCTCACAATGATAACTTATTGTTGATTTCTGTCTGGTTATCTTATGTATTACATATTATTTACTATGATTTTGAAAGACCTTTTAACTAAGTGAAATGCTGTATAACAGTCAAATGGGCGTTGGTGCATTTTAAAGAAATAGAGATTTGTTGGTGTCCATGAGCATGCACATAACATTTTTCTGTAGGAAGCACCTTAAATGTTCAATGGGTGCTAAGTTGCTGACTCCTGAGGTTGATAATTCAAAATTCATATTAAATTTATAGTTCTTTTTAGCTTTCTTTACATTTGGAAGTCATTATTTCAAATTTCTTTTGCTTTTGTATATTAATAAAGCAGTTTTTTTGTACAGTGAGCATTATGGTTTAAAAATATTAGATTAATTTAAAAACTTTTCTATTTGGTAATGGTGGGGGGAGGGGAGGGAAGATGCTTATTTTAAGAAGTTTTTTTTATGCCCGTATATTTTGTAAAAAGCTATGTAAAATTAGTGAATAATTCATTTAAGATTAATTTCACACACTTTATTACTCTTTTTTTTTTTTTTTTTTAAATTTTTCTTTATCCTTGGATAAAAGTGACATTGACATACATTGACCTAACACAAGTTTGATTTGTGTCACAGTAGATAGGTTTTTATGAAATATCACACGTGCTGTATTTTATGAACATTATGGAGCATTTTATAAATAGAGCGATATTGTTTGAAATTACATTACCTATTGTGTATGATTCTTGTAAATGTTTTTAGAACATCTTACCCGAAGTGACTAAGCCTCAGTTGATTTGCCAACTTTTTCATTATTAAACAATTTTTTTCCATAAAGTCTATGTAATTCAGCACAAATTTAGTGGGTAAATAATATTGCAGTATATTATCTCTTACAAAGCAGTGAATAGATTTGGTGTTATGCTGGTAGTATTTAATTTTGAGTTATGTTCAATTTTGTAAAAGTCTTAGCATTTATACAAGAAATTAAAGTGCCAGATAATCACCGCATTTTTATTTTAGTACCTTTTATTACTCTGTGTGTGGTATACAACAAAAAAGTCTTTTAGTGCATACCTCATATAATCTGATGATATTCAGAATATTAATATGAAATTTAATTTCATTCTCTGCGTGTTTGTTTTTGTTTAATTTCAAGAATGATTTTACCAATTAAATATAAACTGCTTGAATTGTTAGTAAAGATAAAACACAATAAATATATATCAATCACACTTAAAATAATGAGAAAAACTACTACTGCTAATAAGAAATATAATTTTATCTACACCTAGATAGAGTTTTATTACGATTTTGGTTTCGAATATCATTGTGTCTGAAAATTATGTTCTGCAATGGCTATATACTTATAAGAAGTTACATATAGATTATCAATAATCAGTATTATAATTGTGTTGAATCTTCTTTAATTCATTAATGTCTTGATAACCACAGATTTGCAAAAGGTAAATCTAAACTGATCATAGGAATATGCCGAATGATGTCTTCAGGTGTCCAATGCTAACTTTACTGTCATGTCTTCAGATGAATTCTGTTATCACTTTAGTAAACCATCTTGTTATTGCATTCTATGAATGCTACCTTATCATCTCATCAACATTTATTGGCTTTGGCAGTCTCATTTTCATTTTGCCTAAGTATTTGCTATGAGACCTTTGTTATTACTTTTCTCTGAATTTTAGTCTTTTAGTGTATTCATTTATTGTGATTATAAGCTTCTTTGAAGGATAGATCAAGTACTGTAATTCTTGAACATCATTGAGAAATATATTAAATGTTTGTTTGAAAATGCCTGTCATTGTCTTCCACCATGATGCAGGAAGAGGAATGATCTTCGAGTACATCTTCTTTGTGGTGCTGAAAACTTCAGTTTTCCAATGAATCTTTTCCTAAGCACTAGCTGCTTCTACTAAATTATTGCCACTATCACCATAAATTATAGAAGATTGTTGTCTGTGTCCAATAAATAAATCTCTAAAACCCTTGAAAAAAGTGATCTGTTGAGAGTGAAAAAAATCAGTTCTTCATCTGATGGCATGCATATTTCACAGGTAAACATACATATCCATGATTTATTTGAAGTCCCCTCCCTTAGCTTTCGTGGTATGGAGAACTTTCAATATGTACACTTGTTACTTCCAAAATATTAACATTATATTCATAATCTTCAGCTAAATCTAGCAGTAAAACCACCATATTTTTTGCTTTCTACAGCTTGCACTTCAAACAATATGTGAGAACCACTTAATTGTGTAAGACCTGTGTAAAATTCAATGAGATAATAAAAACTGCCTTTCAGTTTTTGCCTGTAGAATGTGACCAATATGATGTGGCAATATTTAGTAAACATAAATTCCTCAACCAAGTTGTGATTAGTAACCACCCCAAAGAAAAGGGACTACGAGTAATGGCAAAGTCTACATGATTGTGATTCAAAACTTAAAATTTACTTTATACATCAAACTACATAAAATGCGGTAATCTTTACTGCCTTTGTTTAGACAAATCTACAAGACAATTTTTCTTATGTCTCATATAATACCACCTTTTCCATGCAGAAATCTCATCAGTATATGTGGTATATATTTAATTTAGTTTAATTTTCTGTCATTCAGTTAAAGAGCTTTAAGAATCTCTGCAGGTACATTTAATACTGACCTGATCTTAATTCTGCAATTTTTCTTCAAATTATGATGATGAGAAAGGTAATGACCATGTAGAAAGCATTCAGCTTCTGTAACTATTTCATTTGTACCATCTTCAGATAGTTATGGATATTCTGCACGCCAGCCATCATTTTCTAGCCGGTATAGTACATGGAATCAAGTCTTCTCAGTCACTTCATTTATTGTCAGTGGTGAACATCTTTCAGTATCATATTAAGTACATATCTTTCATCATACTGTATGGATGCTATGTCCTCAAAATATGATGTAGTTTGTGTAACCTCATCTTTGTATCTCTGTTCTACAGCGTCCTTAATATCTATATCTTTGCTGTACAGGATCCCTATTACCTATAAGGCTGATAAATTTGAATTGCTCAATATTGGTGGCAAGTCGTGAAGAAGTTACAGTCATATTTACATTTTTTCTACTTTGACTTCCAAGAACTTTTCCTGTTAATGCATCCTGGTTTAATTTTGATTGCAATTAAATGTTCTTGCAGTTCTTCAGTACTACCACTACCAGTAAGATTTTCTGCAGTAACTCAATTTAATTAATATTTAGATTGGACCATAGCTCTTTTTGCATGTAACTGATGTAAGTATGTTTCGAGTTCTGTCATATTGCGTATCTGTGATCTGTTATCAGCAAGCTTACGAATTTACAGATCTGTATTAGGTCTTATTAACTTTCTGAAGAAAAACCTCTGGAGTATATTACAAGTTTATAATGTGTTAGTATGCTGCATGTTCATTTGTTGACGCGGAAGACATATTTCATGAACTGAATTCTTTTTCTTTTATTATTTTTATTTTTCTGTTGTTCATGATATATTAATGCCTCTTTAAACAAAACATGCATTTCACTGAAATTTTTGCATTATGTCCTGATTTCATACAACAAAAATGATATTTTGTTTTTCTTTGGTGTGGGTGACAATCAGGATAGTGGTATTGAATAATGATCTGTGTAGATGATATATTTCTGTCTTTAAAACATTCATTGCATTTATGTTACTTATTAGAAAACAAGCATATTATTTAGATTATTTTTTTTAGCAATAAACGAATTTTAGTTGTACCAATATTCTGTATTTGCTTTTATATTTATCTCCTTAAAAAGATTATTCCTAAAATTGGAACTTGTAACTGTCACAGAAACTTTTTGCTCACTTTTTACTCCATTTCAAATAAATTGCATGAAATCTTTTAAGATTTGTTGGTGTTTTACGAGTTTGTCATTGTCTAATGCTTCCATCAAATTTCTTTTATTGAATTTTCAGAGCTTTAAACTTTCTTTTTGGGGAGACATTTGCAGTATTTATAGAATCAGAAAATTTTTTTATATTAGCAACATGTGTTTCATTATCCTTCTTATTTAAATATGCTTTTGCCATAAACTTATTACTGGATAATTGTTAAACAGACTTATTTTTAATTTAGTTTAATAAGTTCTTTTGTCTTGCTAGCTTCTAGCATAAAATCCAGTATTTGTCTTTTTGAACTTTGACACTCATCATTCTTACATATTTCAAATTTAGCTTGGATTTGTAAAATAGCAAGAACATCTTTCATAGCAGGGACATCATCTTTATATCCTTTTAAGTATTGTTTAGAGTCTTGTAAAAGAATTTCTTACTACTTTCCTTGTCAACAAATTATTGTTATTATTATTTGAATTTACTTAGTGATATCTCTAAAAATTAAATGTTATTTTCAAGTCATGGTGGCTAATTGCTAGTAAGAAAATGTATATGGCCTATTAATATTTAACACAAGTCACAGATATCAAGAAAATATTAACTTTCAATTAATGAAACTTTCCCATTCATCTCCTGTGAAGATTTGGATTTGTGTTAAAAAAATCTGAAACTTATTGTACAGTAGGGCAAAATATGCTTCATGCAGATCCAAGTCTTTTTTTCACTCTATGACATTCTGATGTGGAGTTTTCATTAAATTCTGCTGTTATTATTTCTTTAGAATTTCCCCCTATTTGCTGTAATTTCTGCTGTAAGCATTAATGAAAAATAATTATTTAAATATACACTTTGCTTAATGTAAAAAGGGCCTTTTACATAATATGGTGTAGCAGTCTTAATATTTTTCTTGCAGTAAACAGGTTTCTAATAGTGGTGAGGTTTCTTAATTCTGCTCTAGTGATTCCATGTGAATGGCATGAAGTAGTTAAAAATATAATTTTAAAATGCATAACATCCCATTAGTTTTTTATTTCCCCAAAGAATTTGCTTGATTGTACTTCAAAATCGCCATTCAATAGTACTTCAAAAATAGCCTTTCAGAATACCAGTTTTCCTTACATCATAGAAATGTGGTTAAGGAAAAGCATTGGTGCCTCATATTATAAAATAACCAATGATTTATTCTAAAAGTAAAATTAATGCAAAATGATAGGTTGTATATGTCAGATTATAACTGTGACTTGCTTTAAATAAGTTTTCATGGTCTTTTTTAATGCATATCAAAGTTGCTTTAGCATTAACGCTTATTGATTTATCTAGAACTTCCTCAGTTGCATTGTTGAAGTTGGTGCAAAAAATTATACGCATTTTAAATAATAGTAAATACATTAATACAATTTAAATAGTAGTAAATACCTTATCGAGGTACATTTTAATTTTATAGTTCTAAGTAAATGAAGAAGTGTAAATCTTTAAAAATCATTGCAAGGGTTGTAGCTGATTACTATCCTGATTTAAATATGGTTGATAATGCAAGACAAATGGATTTGGAACCACCACAAATGCTTGGTATTTGGCTTAACTTTCTTTATGCTTGTTATATGAGTGAACTCTCTTTAATTGTCTACTTTCAGTTCATTGATTGTTCACAGTGTATTGGCTTGAGGTCCTTTTCAAACATTTATTGAATGCTGTCTTCTAGTCTAGTTTATTTGTTTTGCACATTTTCATCAAGAACAGACCCTGACATCTGGAAGATAGTAAAAAAGTGTTTTGCCTTGCTGGAAATAGGTACTGAATTGCCGGATATTATATATATTTGGTGTTACTTCAGTTTCGGAAGTAAGATGTGAATACATTTTTTAACATCCTGTATGCAAAAGAAGCATGTCGGTATGAACCTCAATACCTTGGTTGAGGGGATTGGGTTTTTATTTAAATATTATGCACGTTTTGAGGGACAAGTTGACATGGCTGTGTTTTCTTGACATCTCTCAAAATAGAATGTTTAATTAAAATCAGGTCTTTAATGGTTAGTTATTAACGTTTATTAAAATATTATTAAAATTAAGAAATGTTAGAAAATTGGCAATTAATTGAATCACATCTGATTCTTATTTTTTGTAAATAATGAAATTTGTAAAGTTTTAAAAATTTACCATGAACTTTCAAACTACAATTTTAACGTATGAAGATTTGCTTATTTTAAAATAAAAGATTTAAGCCCATTTTACTGTACTATTAGTGGTTTCTTCATCTCAGTTATATTCTTTATTCTCAGTTATATCCATTATTTTAATGTTGCTTTTATGTTCTTATTATGGTAGACAGAGCAATTTGCAACAAGTCTTATTTCACAGAGCAATTCTCATTATAATAGACAGAGAAACATTTGCAAAAATTTAGCAATTTTTTTGCCAGATCTGGATAAAGAATCAGATTTTTATTTGACAAGAGAATTTTACTTTTTGAAACATGTCTCAGTTCCAATTTTAAAATTAAAAAAATGGGATTTTTTTGGAGGTGATTTCAGGCATTTTATTTCTTGAAGAAAGCAAATTTGATGCTAGGCTTATTTTTTCTTATATGTAATTTGTTGGCAGTGCATACTTATTGACATTTTCATTTTCAGAAAATTTAGTGAAGAAGAAAAAGTAAATAAATTTTGTTAGAGTCTGAAGCAACATCTTGTGGGGATATTTTTTTTTACAATTTTGATCTCGCATTGCTGTTTACATCTCTTTCACATTATTCAATAATTCTTTAAAGCTGAATTCACTTAATTTCAGTTTCATTAAACTAAAGTATGGGTAAAACTCGGTATATCCGAAAATTCAGAAGATGGTGATTGTCTGTTATAAAATTCAAAGCTTGGCTTGCAGAATGTCTTGGAAATAGCAGTAAATGTTTTTTAAAATTTCTAAATATAGAAAAACCCTGAAAGAGTTGTATCTGGAAAAGCACATGAATACTTAAAATCACGAAAGTGTTACAAAATATTTGGTTAAAAAATGAGCTTTTTAAATCAAGAACTTTTTTATTAAGGAAAATTGAGTAAAAGCAGTATGCCAAATTAAGCTTGTATATTGCAGAATATGTCTTATACTGTAATATCAGTCATCTTCAGCTCCTTCCACTTTATTCTTTTCAAAATTTTCAGATTTTGCTCATTATATAAAATTACATCATACAAAATATATTAATATTGTTAAAATAACATGGCATCTCAATTTACAGGTGACTCAAAAGTATTAATAATGAATCCTGTAGTTTAATTGTTGAGGAAAGGAATGGCTTTTCAGTATGCATGTTATTAACATTATGCATAATATACTAGTCTCATGTTTGAAAACTGTTATTTGGATGTTAAGTAATTTGAAGAATTAAGTAACCTTTTTGGATGTTAAGTAATCAGAAGATGGATCTGCAATTTTGATGCTATTAAAAGCATTTTTTTTTAAGAAAGGCTTATTAGAAATAAATGTTTTTGAGTAGGTAATAAATATGGTTTTGTAATATTTGTAATGGTAAGTGCACATAATGAAGTTTATGGAATTTAAAGAGATATCCCATATCAACTAATTAGGTATGTTTGTCATTCTTTAAAATAATCCATTTTGTGTGGAATATCTGAAGACTTAAGATAGTGTGAGAGACCTGTAACCTATAATTAAAAGTGAGAAATTGTGTAATTCAGTCATATATGTATTTTCTTCAGAGAATTTCAAAGTCTTTGAAAAATTAGAGAGAGAATGCTGTGATTCAGAGATATGCTGTAGCCTGTGGACCACAATATTAGTTACAGTACTGTGTTGCTGTTTCAGAATAAAATAAGTGAAAACAATCAAATCAATAGTTTAGCATATTGGTGTCCTAAATGTAAGATATTTCATTAGCTAATTCATTAGATTCATTAGGTCAAGTTATTTCATTAGCTTTTTTTTCATTACTGGTCACTCCTTGAGAATAATTGCTCCTTGTATTCTTTTAGTTTTAATATTTATTTCCTTGCGTTAGCTCTTCCTGCAGTAATCGTTTGTGGATTAATTGCATATTAAGTGTGTCTGCTCTAAATTCCAATAATGTTCCAGTGAAACCTGTGCCATTCATTTTATCCCAAATTGTGAAAGTAATATTTCTAGTTTCCTGTAGATTAAATATTAATTCTTGAAACGTTGAGGTCCACTTTAAAAGTGCTAAAATCAAGTTAATATAATTACATTTCCAGCATCTCACTTATAATCTTAACATTAGTCAAAACATTTCCATTTTTAATCAACAATATTAATGTATGTTTTCCTTTCTTATTTTCAACTCAACACTATGGCTGTCTTTCCAGTGTCGTTTTCACTGTTACATAGAGAATTTGTTTCCAAATCACCTTTTATTTTGTGAATGTTTAATAACTACATTGAAAGTTCTTAGTGAACAAAAATGTCTTGTGTGGCATGTTTTATTAAAAGTCATGTATGTTGAAAGCAAGTATAATTGAAAGATATTTAGATTGGTATTTGTGTATGCATTTCTTCAATCACAGCATATGTATTTCTTTATCATTATTTGTATATGAATATTGTTTATTATTTTGTATATATAATGGGGAATTGTGTACATAAAATGTTAAGAATAAAATATTTTATTTGAAATCACAGCATTTTAATTTTAAAATTGCATACTCACACCCAGATTCCTTGCTTAAAACACTAAACTTATCATTATATACTGTACCCACCACTTAGTACTCACTGTTTAATAAAATCAGCCAATTTTTACATTCACAATTCCTGGAAGCAAAACTTTGTTTAGGACCAAAAGCTTAATCCATACATTTTTATAATTTTTTTGAAATTTTCAAAATTTCATATAATTTTAAACATTATTTTTAAATATTATATTAGGTTTTAATTATTAGATTAATTATTAGTTACTATTTTGCTAGATGGTTTTAAAACTGATATTGGGATTTTCAACACTCAAATTGCTGTCCGCTAAACTCAGCCACTTAATAAACTCAAATATCTTCGTAACAGAAGGAATTTTAATATGCAGCGGCCATTGTACTCATATTCAACACATCAGACTACTATAATTTTAGAGATAAAATTAAACCATTGTTATAAGTTTAAATGATAATTATCAGTATGTATTCAAATCTATTTCCGGGAAGATAAAGAGGTATACAAAATAGTCATTTAATTCATGATTTTACTGCCTGAAGCAATGTTTGAAAAATGTTCTTTGTATTGTTCAGTTTCCTGTTCATCAACTAGACTTTAACACTAAGAGTTTTTTATTGATTTATACTAGTGGTGATGCACATTGTATGAATATGGTGCTGGTCAGTTTGATTAATAAAATATTCAACTCCATTATTTTCTTTAAGAATTTCTATTCTGGGGGAAAATTAATGAAATTCAAAATTTAAAATGTTTGCTCACCACCTTTATGATATGTGACAGTAGTAACAAGTATTCTAAAGTATTATTCATTTTTAATTATGTAAAGTTTCATTGTTATAATTAGAGTTTCTGAATAATGATTTATTGCACATTTATAATGTTTATACTAGCTTACTTGAATGTTTGTCACAAGACTGAATTTAGAGAAGACAGGGCATTTTTAAGGTTTCAAATTTTCCTTCATAAAATTTGGCAAAATGATTTTAAAAATTATCTCAAACAAATTATGATGAGAGATAAACTGCTGTATTTACAACTTCCTGCCTGCTTCTTACTCTAGTGAGTAACATTTCATATCTGAAAATATGCTACTTTTAATTATTTGTCCACTATCATGTTGTGGTAAGTGAAATACATAATGCAACCATAGATGTGTATTTTATTCCGAAGATGATGAGCATCTAGATTTGACACATTTAATATTTCAATCCTTGTTGTGTTTGTTATTGCAAGAATTTTGTAAAAAACATTGTAGGTCTTTTATAATAACTTCAGAGCTGTTTACCTTAGGAGCGAGAACCTGAGGAAAGTTGGGTCTATTTTATGCATGGTGAATAAAGCATCCAGCCTGTGATCAATGAAATTTGAAATTTTTGTTTCATCATTTATTTTAGAATTTAAGAAATACATATAAAAAAGTATATTTGATATAATAATTTTCAGACCGTGGCACGTGTCTAGTTGAGGTCTACTTATATTCTGGTAGTGCTTGGAAGATATTGCAAAAAAAAAAAGAAACATAATTCAAGATGGGAAGAACATAGTAAATTAAAAAAAAATATTTGTCATTTATTTTATTTATTTAATGAGGATGCTTGAACATAATAAATTGTACATACAGATTTTTGATTATAAGAATTTGATAGAGCAAATTGGATTTTCTTTTTGGCAAGCTTTCTTTTTAGAAAGTATTATTTTGGATAGTTCTAGTTTTGAAACAAAGAATAATTATAGTTTCAAAACAAAGAAGTACCAGAAGCTGGCTGCACCACATGCATATATCTTAAAGCTTTGAATTAAGGCTTGATATTAGAACCTTTGCATTAAATTGAGAAGTAAGATGCAGCAAATGGCCTTTAATCATGTTGTGTTATTCATACATAATAGTAATAAAAGTCTAGTTGGAACCAAATAGAAACTCGATAGTGAGTTGCCTTTTTTCAAATTTGTTAAATGAAAATGGTACTCGAAGTGTTTTCAGATTTGGAACTTAAATTCTTTGCTAGCTCTTTTATGTTTCTAAATTTCTTTCATGTAATTGCTAAATAATCCTAAAATTTACATATGTATTTTTCTAGGCAACATGGCTTCAAAAATATATTTGTGTGATTTTATATTTTCCCCATTTTATAACAACTACAGCTTCAAGCTAGAACTGCAAAGATTTGGGTATTTAGGGAGGAAAAAAATCTGATAAAATATGTGACTAGTAGTATAAATCAGACGGGGTCACAGAAGGCAACAGCATGACATACTGCAGATTTGTACTGTGTACTCCCAAGAGCACATTCCCCCCAAGTCCTGCTATGTTGGCTCAACGTGTCGGGAACGGTCACTGCGCGGAATGGGCGAAGTACGTCAGGAGCATAGCTTCTGGTAGGGCCACCCTAGGCATGAAGGCTGTTCCAACATGCCCAGCTAAAGCATAGCAGGTGAATATCCTTCAGGAGATTACAGTCTTGGTGATCGGGTGTCACAATCCTGAGGCCCCAGTGATTTCTCCTCTTTTCTGCCTTCTCTCCTCTTAACTGCAACTTTTCTCTCGTTTTCCTTCTCCCTTGTGGTTTTCCTCTTCTGAGGTTCGGGCTGGTCATAAGACACTAGAACATCTCTTGTCCCTAGTTTTTGAGTGGCAAGAAAACTACCCACTTGTTTGCCGTGCGTGGAGACCCGTGTCACTGGAAAGGAGGGTCCTGGTAGTTGAGGGTCGAGGTACTGTCCCCTACAAACTGCTTTGGACTCTGCTTAAGTTAAACGGGAGGCACCTTGCGGTCCTCACGGGTGTCAATTGGCTGGTCACTAGTCCTTGTGTCAGTGGCTTGGAAACAAGCTCTCGGAAGTACCTGCTTTTGGGAAAGCCGACTGTGGGACTTCAGTTTGCGTATAGGTCCGGCTATCCCTGGCGTAAGAATCTGCATCCTCTTGTTGGGCTCCATGGTGGGTGGGGCAGTCGGACCCGAACCTTTCTCTGTTTAAATATGAATGCTCTAGTGATGTACCTTACTCTGATTGTAATCGAAAGACTAAGAAGCGACATAGAAAGCGCTCTCTCGGATGCATTCTGCCTACTTTTTTTAGTTATAGCTAGCTCTGAAGAATTGAAAAAAAAAGTCACCCTTTCTAATAAACAAACACCTTTTGTCTTCTGTAGGAGAACTGAAAAATATTAAGAGACTTCGGTCTTGAGACCTTTTGATAAAATATTTTTCCGGAAAGCTGTCTAATAGTCTTTTGAAACTGACTAAATTAGGACAAGCAAGCATTGCAGTTATGCCACATAACACTTTGAATTCGTCCCGAGGAGTAATCTCTGAAATAGACTTATTGTCAGTAAGTGAAGAGGAATTTGTTAAAGAGTTGGCAGATGAAAACGTGTGTGGTGCTCATAGGATCAAAATACGGAAAGGTCGTCAACTGATTCTCACTAAACATGTCATACTTACCGTCAAGTCTCCTAACCTGCCTAAAAGCATCAAAGCTGGATACCTAAACTGCTCAGTCAGGCCGTATTTACAGAATCCAATGCACTGCTTTCAGTGTCAGCACTTTGGACATGGAAAGACCTCCTGTCGTGGTAGCCTTACGTGTGCTCTATGTTGCATCGTTGGCCATGGCAGTGAAGGTTGCTCTGCTGCCCCCTTATGTATAAATTGTAAAGGTAAGCACCCAGCTTTTTCAAGATCATGTCCGAAATGGCAGACAGAAAAACAAATTCAAGTTACACAAAAAATACCACTTGCAGAAGCCAGAAGACTTGTTCTCTCTAATCAGCCAAGACCCAATAAATCTTATACATCCGCAACAAAATCATTCAGATCAGTATCAACCCAAACCACAATAACCGCACAGGAAAAAGAACTAGCAATAACAGAAGATTCTAGAAACGAAAATTAAGAAAAAACCTGATGTTGAAAGTAGTACGCCTGTGACAGCGTCCAAAGGAAAACAGGATGTGCAATAGAACAAACATAGAGATGTCATCAAAGAGATAAGTAAGCAAAAAAACCAGGACTCCCAGTCAAAGTTCTGTTGCAAGCATAATTTCAGGACGCCTAGACGACTCAGATTAAATGGACGTTGAACAAGGGTTATCCCTTTTGAAACACCTTTTGCCCCGAAAGTCGAAAAACCAACACCGCCAAAACAAGCATCCATAATGGGTACATTTGTTTCGTGGAATTGCCGGGGTTTTCGTCAAAACCTGGGTAATATCAAGGATTTAATCAACATCTATCAACCTGCCTACTTTGCACTTCAGGAAACTTTGTTAAAACCAAGCAGACATGCTAAGATATGGAGATATACCACAGTAAGAAAGGACAACCCGTCGGGGGATCGTGTCTGTGGTGGTCTGGGCCTTATCACTCTCCCACAATCACCCATACATTGCTCTCTCTTTGACGACCTCCCTTCAAGCTACGGCGATTCAGATTAATTTACGCTTTTCAATCTCAGTGTGCACTATTTATTTACCCCCCCCCCCCATGCGCATGTTGATCAGCGAGATTTGGATAGAATAATAGAGCAGCTTCCAGAACTTTGTTGACTTCCAGGTGATTTCAATGCACATAATACCTTATGGGGAAGTAGGGACACTAATTCAAGGGGCCGACAGATCGAACAATTAATAATAGATCATCCTATTTGTCTCCTTAATAATAGAGAATACACTTACTTTCACCAGCCGACTTTAATATTTCATGCAATTGATCTGGTTATTTGTTCTCCATCTCTACTGCCCTTTTGCTCTTTCAGTGTAGGGAAGAATCTCTACGATAGTGACCATTTCCTAGTGATTGTAAATATTAAAGGAAAGTCGGTGATCTCAAGACAACCATGCTTACTTTACAATAAAGCTGATTGGGATTTTTTTGCATCTTGTGCTGTGCTGACTGAAGAAATAGTAAATGATGTGGAGATTAATGCAGCTGTAAAATGATCTCTGATGCTATTGTACAAGCAGCTGAACTCTGTATTCGAAGTCCTCGACAAAATTCCCTAAACCCTGGTGGAACAGGGATTGTCATGAAACTTCAAGAGAGCAAAAGAAAGCTTGGCGTATCTTTCGCCGATATCCAGCACTAGAAAATCTTCTGGCCTTTAAAAAAGCTAAGGAGAATGCAAGAAAAATGAGGCGGCAAAGTCAGAGAAAATCATAGGCAGCCTACGTGTCCACTATTACCTCCACAATGTCTAGCGAACAGGCTTGGGAGAGAGTCAGCAAAGCCTCTGGACTATATAATGATTATTCCTTTTGCGTTGTAGAAAAAGATGGAAAGGTGATAAGCACCAGAGAAGAAATAGCCGATGCTTTAGGTGAAACGTTTGATGCTGTATCTGGCAATAGCAACTACTCAAAAGTGTTTTTGTCCACAAAGATGTGCTTGGAAAGGATTCAAATCGACTTTTCCCATCCTAATGCAGAATCTTATAATAAAGATCTTACCAGGTTAGAATTAAGAAGTGTAATGTCTCGCACTGCTGGTCCTGATGGCATAAGTTATTTGATGATAAAGCATCTGCCCTATGAATCTCTCGTGGTCCTTCTTGCTCTTTATAATAAGATATGGAAGGAACAAATTTTCCCTTCTGCCTGGTGCAGGGCTTTTGTAATCCCTATAGCAAAACCTAGCAAGGACCCGGAAAATCCTTTAAATTATCGCCCCATCGCGCTCACTAGCTGCCTTTGCAAGATCATGAAAAAAAAGGTAAATCACCATCTCACCTACTATTTGGAGAATAATCATTGCCTGTCGCCTTACCAAAGTGGCTTACCAAAGTTTCCGTAAGGGAAGATCTTCACTTGACAATGCGCTGTTTTTAGAAACCGCAGTACGCAATGCATTTGTGAAAAGGAATCATGTGGTTTCAATCTTCTGTGACAGAGAAAAGGCGTATGATAGAACTTGGTGGCATGGAACTCGTCATGACCTTTACAGCACTGGGCTGTGAGGTAATTTACTCATCTTCATTCAAAACTTTCTAAAGGACCGCACTTTCCAAGTTAAGATTGATTCGTTGTTCTCTCGTGTATTTGTACAACAAGAAGGTGTACCCCAAGGTTCGGTACTCAGTGTCACTCTTTTCAAATTTTCCTGAAAATTAATTCCATTTTAAAAGAACTCCCCCCCCACAGTGCATGGTTTCCTGTATGTTGATGATTTGATGATCTGCTGTGACGGTCAAGATATGAGATACATTGAGAGACAACTGCAAATTGCTCTAAACAGAATCATAAAGTGGTCCAACAACAATGGTTTTAAATTTTCTAGCCAGAAGACCGTCTGCGTGCATTTTTGTCGCAAAAGAAATCTACAATCTGATCCAGAGCTGCATCTCGACTGCTGTTTGATCCGCGTTGAGCCAGAAGCAATATTCCTAGGAGTTATATTTGACAGAAAGCTAGCTCACTTTCCTTACGCATATATTAATTTAAAGAAAAAAATGTGCTAAAGCTCTCAACATATTGAAAGCCCTTGCCAATACTTCATGGGGAGCAAAACGTTGTTCTATGCTGCACATTTATAGAGCTTTAATTCATTTCAAACTTACTATGGCTGTGTTATCTATAGATCAGCAAGACATTCTGTGCCACTGAAATTGGATTCAGTCCACCATCAAGCTCTACGGATTTGCTTCCGTAGTTTTCAGAACATCTCCAGTCCAAAGTTTATGTGTCATCTGTTTCGAGCCGTCTCTGGAATTCAGACGCAAGCAGTTGTCCATTGAACTTCATTATAAACTAATATCACAAGCCGAACATCCTGTCCGATTCATGACAACTGATCAGTACTGGCGTATCTACCAAGCACGTCCTTCATGTATCCCAACTTTTGATCTTCGCATTCACTCACTGATTGAAGAATTCAACCTAAATGATCTGCATCCCAAAAGCTTTAACTTTTTCGGTATTGCTCCCTGGCAAGAAGTGAATATACCTACTTGACATTTTTTGGAGAACTTAAGAAGAGGAATACCAATTTGTCCAATATCAACAAACCTTCCTTAGAGCATAGGAGCAGTCATTCTAACTATAGAGCAATTTTTAATGATGGTTCAAAGAATCATGATCATGTCGGGGAAGCTTCTGTTTGTGATAAAGAAATCAAGAGTAGTAAACTTCATAAGGCTGCATCTGTTTTTACTGTAGAAACTTTTGCCATTTTGGATTCCTTAACCTTTATTTCTAAGCAGAATAGCAGAAAGTTCATCATCTACTCTGACTCTCTGAGTGCCTTTTGAATCAGTAAATACAAACACTAGCCACCCTTTGGTCTTAGAACTTTTAAAGGCACACCTCCGTTTGAGAAACGCAGGTTATTCGATTGCGTACTGCTGGATGCCTGGACATGCTGGCATCAAAGGCAATGAAATCGCCGATGTCGCAGCAAAATCAGCTGATGGTACCTCTGAAAATGATGTACCTTTTACGGACATACGGAATTACATCAAAACAAAGATCTTGTCCAGCTGGCAAGAATTCTGGGAATGCCAGACTCTGAACAAATAAGGGCAGATAAAACCCAATTTGGAGTATTGGGGCGAGAGGGAATCGGAAGGAGGATTTACTGCTGTCTCGCCTACGAATTGGTCACTGGAGACTGACACATCAGTATCTCTTGAAAGGAGATAATGAGCATATTTGTGGGACTTGCAACGCTGTCGTCTAAAGCAGCTCTGTTTGATCACACAGTTCATGTTTATGGGACCCTTTACCCTAGCAACAGAGTAATTCTCTATCACGTTTGAAAGATGGCAAAATCGTGATCCACAGCTCCGTGTTGGATCACGATTGTTCCATCGTATACTGATATATTTTGTGAAACTTTAACAAATCCTTTCAAGAAGGCAAGATCTCGTGATCCACAGCTGGCTAGATCAGTCAGTAAAAATCACGATGATTGTTCCAATCGTATACTGATATATTTTGTGAAACTTTAACAAATCCCTTTCAAGAAGGCAAGATCTCGTGATCCACAGCTGACTCCATCAGTCAGGATAAAAATGGATCACGATTTTTCATTCAATCGTATACTGATATATTTTGTGAAACTTTAACAAAGCCCTTTCAAGAAGGCAAGATCATGTGATTCAGAATAATTGTTCAATCGTATATACTGGTATATTCTGATAAAAAAACAACAGAATGATCCAATTTGAATACGAATATGTGTCTATATCCCAATATGTTTTATAAAATCAATTTCATATTTTGTAAAACTTGAAGAATGACTTTCAAGCTGGCTGCATGGGTGGTTTTTTTTCGTGTTTTTCCCCATGTGTAACGTGAATACGAGCCAGTTTCCCTTCAAAAGTCCTCCACGAAGGCATTTCTCAAGGCAAATAGCCCTCAAGTGCTTCATCTTTTGTGTGTCGCTGAAAAATCTCGTGATCGCTCAAGCGAAAAGGGTTAGAGTTTTTTTCCCCTGAAATAGGTTGATCAGAGAAAAAAAGTATTCTCTCAGGCTAAACAGAAATGGGTTGGTTTTTTTGACTAAGTTATTTCCGTTCGGTAGATCCAGGTTGGAGGCTTTCCCCCGTGAACGTTAACACTACACAGAGTTGTAAAAAAAGAATAGCCCTCTCTATATTTTGAAGCTGTCACGCGAATCCTGTCGAAAAATCTTCTTGAAACCCTTCAGGATCATCGTATTCGCTACGAGGGAAAAAATAGGGTGATGTCTCGTCGGTCGAGTCAGCTGGAAAAAAAAAAATTTCTAAGAGCTGCGAGAAAATGTTCCCATACCTTCATAGAAGCTCTTTCTAGGAGGGAGAAGTGTGTATCTAGGTCGAATCCACAGCACAGACTGATTTGAAGTCGAAACTCGAGAGGTTTAAATAGATAAGTGTAAATTCTTTCTAGAAATAATTTTGTATGTCTTGCCAATCGAAAA